GCCTGTCTGGCCCCATAGCTCCCACATCAGGACAAGAAATTCAGAGGCGTCATGCTGCTGCTGAGGCTTGTCCAACCTTGCAATGACATGCTGCATCTCAGAGGCCCAGAAAATGTCCTCAATCTCATCTTGTTGGAGCAGCTGCATGCACAGCTTCGTTGACGGCCCCCAAAACGCTGCTGGGTCCTTGTGGTGGGCCCCCATCCAGCACCACATCCTCATCACTGAATTGGCATAGCATCGATTGCCTTTATTGTGGATGCACAGTGTGAGATTTGCCGCCATCAGTTCAATGGCCGGCGGTATGTTGATGTCTCCTTCAACTGGCCTGCACAGCATCACTTTGCAGGGCGAGTCTCATGCGGAGCACATGTTTCAGGGCCTCAAAGCCCCACACCCTGGTCTCCACTTGCCCAAATTCAATGTCGTCTTCACATTGAATGGGCAAGGCCTGGATTGCTTCCAAAGCCCTCTCTTGTAAGACAACAAGTCTGTTCTTCAAATGACCGGGTGTTGTTCTCTCCGCACACTGAAACTCATCTTCCAGGATCGCATCTTCATGAGTCACTTTAGCCCTCTTGCCCCCACCAAGGAGCAAGCATTGTAGGTGATCCTGGCCACCTGAACATTCATCTTGGTCATGTTTGTTCCACAGCAGGTATTGAGAAGGAGCTTCCGGGGTCCTGTCATTAGCAGGTCCAGGCAAGCCTGGCCGCTCTGAGAAAGAAGAGCACAGTGCCCCTTCTGCCCCTTCACCTGCCTCGTCTTGTTGCCTCTCATAGGCGTCACTTTGGTGGTCTTGTTCTTCCCTATCCATCTGTTTGGACAGATGCCCTGTCCCACTTTGGTCATGCGCTGGTGTGTGCTCATGACCAGTCACATCACTGCCATCTCCTCCAGGACTTGTGGCCATCCGCTCATGGCTCATTCCGGCCCTGGATGAGTACAAAATTGAAAAGGCATGATCAACCCCCAAATCAATGCCAAAATTGCCTTCTTCATGCGTCCAAGGAAATGGGGACTCATGATAATCATTCACATTCACATACGGCTGCAGTCCTTGAAGATCATGACGAAATGGTTCTTCATGCCCACTTTGCACTTCACAATTCAAGCACTGCAAACGCTCATCAACACTCTGCTGACTACCCCAAGCACATCGTGTTGACACTTCATCCCGCCAAACATTCAAACAGTCCCACGAGTTTGAACCTGCCCCACTGCTGTAACTGCCATGGTGACCAGCACAATCCATCTTCCAGGACCCCTTCACTGCAAGACAGTTTGCACCTGTGTCAAACCCTTTTGCTGCTGCATTGGTCCATTTGCTGTTACCCGCTCAACTGACTTTCATCAGTCTTGCGGCGCTTGGACATTGTCTCAGCCAAATTCCTCTCAAGCTCTTTCTGTTGCTCGGAGTTGAAAATGATACCTGCTTGTCCCAAGGCTTTGAGGACATGCTCTGTAGCATCACTATCCAAGACATGCTCACCTGTGGTGGGTACCTCAGCCGCTTCCGCCTTGAGCTGTTTCGCATAGGCTTCCGACTGATCCCCAAGCTGTTTATGCTCTTTGTCAATGGCCTCCTGCACAGCTTTGAGCTCGTCCAACAAGATCTTGTATTGGTCTTTGGCTTGATCCACCCGTCTCTGCAGAGCTTGCTTCTTGGTGGCCAATTGCCTCAATTCACCAACTGTCGCCTTGAGCTGCCCTGTGACGTCAACTGCCACCATAGGTGTTGGCTTGATCAGGCCAACCACAGCCTCTTTCACTTCCGAAGGAAGGGACTCAAGATGTGCTTTCAACACTTCTTCAAGTGGTGGGCATTCAGGCTCTGGTGTAAAATCAATGCCAACTCCTTTCAATGCCTCTTGGGCCTCTTTGGCCAATGTTCCCCAGGCCTTCTTGAGGGTGGCTTCAATGGCACTGTGAGTTGGCTTGCTTTTGCCGCCCAGCCCAGGGGGTGGGTCGACTTGTGGCCTCGCTCTGCCCCTGGGCTTCCTTGCTTTCTTGGCCTGGTAGGGACTCTCCCACGCTTTGTCTGCACCTGGCCATGGCGTGCCACATTGATTGCAACCCCATCGGTGGCCATTGATGCGGTCCGCCCAAATCCATGATGAACTGCATCCACATATTTTCTTCTCGACCGGACCTTCTCAAACTCCTGGAAATAGCCCCCAACCATTTCACAGAACAAACTGGGTAATGCACTCGTCAGCCTCGATTATGAGCAAGGGCAAAGCCTCCGGCCGTATAGGACAGGTCAAAGGGGTCTGCTATCTCGTAGTCCAGTGCCCTCGATCACTTCAATGTGGGCCAACCGGTTTGAGCCTCCTTGAGCCAAACCTTGAGCCTTTCTTTCTTTCTTTCTCTTTCTTTCTTTCTTTCTATTTCTTTCTTTCTTTCTTTCTATTTCTTTCTTTCTTTATTTCTTTCTTTCTTTCTTTCTTTCGTTCTTTCTTTCTTTCTTTTTCGCAGCTGTTCTCCTTTATCTTTTTTGCTTTTGCTTTTCCTTTTGTTCGCTTTGCAGAGACGAAGCCAAACAAGGAAGCAAGCAAGCAAGCAAGCAAGCACGAGCTGCTCACCTTTGGATCTGGTGTGCTGCTGGGGGGGGGGCGCTGCGTCCACCCCCAACCCCCCCGCGCCACGAAATCTGCACTTCATCCCCGACACCCGCGCCTGCCACGAAATCAATATTTTGAGGTGAACTCCCCGGTGCAAAATTTTCTAACCAAGCAAATATGCCTCCTCTATCTATCTATCTATCCATTTATCGTTCTTTCTTTGTATCTGTCTATCTGCAGTTCAACATCCACAAAGTACTACACCTGCCACGAAATCTGCACTTCAAGGTCCACAAAGTCTTGCGAGTCTTGCGCCTGTCACCAAATCTGCACTCCAAGGCCCACAAAGTCCTGCACCTGCCACCAACCCTACACTTCCACATCAAAAAGTCCTGCGCCTGCCACGAAATCTGCACTCCAAGGCCCACAAAGTCCTGCACCGGCCACAAAGTCCTGCACCTGCCACGAAATCTGCACTTCAAGGTCCA